GTCCGTACGGCCGGTGCCGCCGACCCTGAATGACGACGACGACGACGAGCGCTCTCGGGGGCCTCTTGGCCTCTTGGGGGTAGTTTGGGGGCCTCTTTCTTTTACCGCAATGCGAACCCAAGAGTCGCCAGACAGGCCGGGAAGCCTCGCAAGCCGAGCTGCATTTAGCAAAGTCATCTTCCGAATTGCTTCCGAGACAACCACCATGCGACAAGAAGGGTCGCCAGGCAGGCGAGGAAGCCAAGCAAGCCGAGCTACAATGAGTACAATGAGCCGAAATTTTAGACAGTATTGCCTGAGACTGAAGTCTACCGCGCTGCATCCCAATATCACCCTGAGGCCCAGACGGCGAAACATATCGAAAACTGAACCAAGTAAGAAGGCGAAAAGGCGAATGGATGGAGGGAGGGACGAAGAGAGATGGGTGAGACACTAAACCGCGCGCGCGTACGCCTACTGAATCTTGTCAACGGCACTCGCACACTTGTATACAAGTGCATGTCCCAGATAAGAGCGTAACAGGAAAATGCAGGAGGCGAAAGGAGACAAAGAGAGAGATAGATAGAGAGAGAGAGAGAGAATCAAAGAAAACGAACGACAGAGAAACACAGAGAGAGAGAGAGAGAAGTGGCATGCGAGAGGGTCGCTTGCTCGTGGGCCATTCGACAGGGGAACCCCGATTCCAAGCAAGATCATGACTCAAACTGCACCATCTACTAGGAAGGCAACACGACGTTCCACACATAGAAGACAGCGATTCCCGCCTGGCGGGTGCCATGAACTGGCAGTCAGGCCTGCACGACCGATGCCGCTCTGATCAGCGCACGGCCCCCGCTCTGAAATGCCAGCGGCGAACGCGGAGGAGGGAGGAAGAGGGAGGTGAGTCCTCATGGCAGATGAGGTCTTAGAACGGCGGGGACCAAAAAGGAGGTTCACACCTCACGGCCTCCTCCACATTCGGAGGGCCTGGGCTAGTCCACTCATTGGTGCTTTTAGTGGAAGCCAGCAGCACGTGCATGCCGCACATCGTCTAAATCGCTGGAGCTGTCATCAGAGACCTCGTGGACATCGGATCTCAGAAGACACGCTCTGCTGTGCGCTAAATAAGTCACACCGGCATCAAGCAAAGGCAACGTCTCCCCACGAACTGCTTTGATTGAGATCTCTGACAGCGCGACATCCGTCCTGAGATCGGGAACTTTCTTATTTGTTTGATGTAGAAGCAGTAGCAGCCGCTTGTTACAGAAGTCCTGATATCCCTGCATGTCCAGGTCATTTGCATCAGAGCCAAATGGATTCTCAAGCTCAACGGATACTTCATGCAAGGCCCAGAACACGAACGGTAGCAGGAAGCAGATGCAGAACGCCTGCATGCTCCCGATACAAACGTTCGCTGCCATGAACGGTGTTGCCATCATGCGGAAAAACGTCATGCACACAGTGACCTGCGCGTACGGGAATGGGAATAACTTCATACTTCATGCAAGCAGCATGCATTTCGTATACAGATCGCGCGAAGACTGGCGGTGAAACTCTCATGAGACCGGCCTGATTCGCCTCCGCAAGCAATGCCATGAGCATGTTGTACACTGCCTCGACTTTCAGCTCCGTGTCGTTCACAATACGGATCACTGACGGCTCCAGCGACCCAGGGTCGATTACCTTCAGCTTCAGAAAAAAAGGCCGTCCCATCATCGCCGTCGGTGTCCGACAACTTCGCCAAAGCGAGGGCGTTCATGAGACTGAACAGTCGCACCACCAACTCTCGAAATCTGCCGACCTCATTCCTATCATTATTGGATGTACGTGTGAAGGTGACGAAGCTGCCAGCAGCGTCTCACCACAAGCAAGTCATCGATCGCACAAGTGCCCCTCCTGTGCAGAATCGCGAGTATGCCTGTTGGGTGCGAAAGATGATCAACAATGCAAGCATGGCAGTGAAGCTGGTGTACGGCTTGGCAGAGAAACTTAGGCTTTTCGTGGCGCCTGGGTCCGTAGAATCGAGCCACGTTTTCAACACCACCGCGAAGATGGCCGAGGGCAGCGCGAACAGACATGCCAAAGGACCGACGCTGCTCTTCAAGCCCAGCAGAAGGCCGCACGACAGCGTGGGCTCGTACTGAATCGTGGCGGGGAACAGGTCGAGAATACGCAGAAGACGCCGGGGGGCCAACCAGAACGCAATGCTAATCGACCCAATGAGCCGATCGTTCCTCGAGCCCACAACACGGCTTGAGCTAAAATGGCTACGGAGGGTAGTTTGGGGGCCTCTTGGGAAGCTCTTGGGAGCCGCTTGGGAACCTCGTGGGGGCCTCTTTGGCGGTCTCTTGGAAGCCTCTGGAACCATCTTGGGGCGATCTTGGAGGCCTCTTGGCCTGCCTTGGAGCGTCGGAAAGCTGACAAGGCGAGAATGCTGAATCTTTCACAAACCTACGGGAAATCGAAGTTGGTTGCCCCTTGGGGCCGTCTTGGAAGTCCTTGGAGGCCTCTTGGGGCGTTTTGAAAACCTTTTGAGCCGTCTGGAGGTTACTTCGGCGACTTGGACCGATATTTCGGCGATTCGGGGCCCTGGAAGACCGTTTTGGGGACATCTTGGGGCACTTTGCCGCGTCTTGGGGCTTTTCTGGGCCCCCGAACCGCACGGGAGGGAGTCGCATCTGCCCCGGGACACCCCCAGGACCCCCCTAGACCCCACTCCCAGGACACCCCCCCGGAGGGGAAGGGATCAAAGGGAAGGGGCTTCCCTTCGACTCAACGACTCAACTACAACGTTGATCAATTTCGTTGTGACCGGCGCGGAATAGCCTTTTCCAGACGCCGACAGGGTCGGTGGATTCCTCCTCGTCTACCTCCTTCCTCAACCTCATACTCTTCCAGCTACGTGCGGTCCTGCTTATCCTCTTGCTCATCCACCACCACCTCCTCCTCCTCCCCGTTTATTCAGCCTCCCTGTCTGATCGCGCAACACGATTATTCAGGGGGGTCCGCGCCCGCTGACACTCATCGGCGGATATGCAAAGTCGGTACAAAAGGACGGGATGGGTGGGAGAGGTGAGATGTCAGATATGGTGCGAGCGCACCTGATTGGCTTGTGCAACCCCTTCTCGCCCTTCCCCCCCGCCCTCCCCTTACAAATAACTCCACCCTGACGACTCCCGAAGACCGTTTGCGACCCTGAAGCTTCAACATTGACAACATATTCACACAACGAGGGCCCTTGGTTTTCAACATGTGGCTCTCGCCTTCAAAATGTACAGGAGTTTCACGAATTGAGGGCGGGCCATTTTCAAAATGTGGTTCCCGCCTTCGCGCCGCGCACACATTCGTCTTAGAACTTCGCCAGAGTGTCACAAATTGGGGCCGCTTCCTTCAAACAGTGGCTCTCGCCGTAGCGCCTCGCACATTCGTCCTAAACCATTGCAAAAGTTCCGAATTCCCATGGCTACCGTACCAGAATTGATGTTCTGGAGCGTGAGTCACGATTGGCAGGGCACACCCGTTATGCTGCCGTGCGGCGCGGACGTCCCAGGGATGGCTTTCTGCAACGACTCCGAATCGTCAAGACACTCCCGGGGTGGGCAGGCCCAGCACTGAGTGTCGCTTAACCGATCCCCATCCCCAACGGCGTGGCCTGGGCCCCACTGGCCGATTTACCCCCCTAGATGGGGACATAGGCACCAAGGCCGTCCCCTTCGGGTTTCGACGGGTGTATCCCCAACTGGGGGGGTAACCCGGTGGGGGTCTCGAAGGGGATGGGGAGATGGGGATGGGGATCGCTTAAACGATACCGAAGCACGAGGCTCCCCGAGCCGCGTCTCCATGTAGCCGCTGGCCAGGGACTGCGCGTCCGGCGTCATCAGGTCCGTCGTCCACGGCCGGGCGCAGAGCTCCGGCTCCTCGGGCGGCTCCGCCTCCTGAGCCAGGGCGCGGGGGGCGCCGGCGCCATCTCTCGGACGCCCAGTCCTCGGGCCAAGATGATCCGGGCTGCTCCTCGATGGTCCTCGCCGAGAAGTGCACACGCTTGAACGATGCCAGAAAGACGGAAAGACCAGCCGAGCGAGGTGGCCTCCGTCCGCGCCCCGCGGCGGCCGCGGCCGCCGATCCCCAGCAGGCCCCTCGCGGCCCAGACGCGCGGCGTCAGCGGTGGAGGATCGAGAGATCCGACGTCTGTCTGCACACTGTCTCGAGCTTCCTCGGGCCTCCAGCACTCTCGCCATCGCTCGGACGTCTATTCCCTGTGTTTTTTTCGGTTTCGTGCGTGGTTATATCGCCAAATGATCAAGGATGCTCCTCGATGGTCCTCGCCGAAGGAAAAATGCACACGTCCGAGCGATGCCAAGCGCTGCACTCGACGCCGCGGCTGGATCCGCCTCGGGAAGCCTGTCAGGACAGCCTGCGGGGCATGCCATGGGGGTCCACTTTTGAGGCCTGGCCAGCCACAACCGGGGGCAGCTGTTCTCGCTGCCCCCCCCGTGGGGGCACTTCGTGCCGACGTGTCCAGAGGGGTACCGTGCCCGACGAGGGGGGTCAGGGCCACAGCTGCCCCAGCTGCTGCTGATCTGCCACGCCGCCACTCGCGTCCTAGGAGGCAACTGAGTGGAGGCCTTCGTGAGAATAAGGAGCCATCAAACCAGATTAGGCTGCATTTGGCCCAGGATCCATCTTGATTAAGCGTGATTAAACCAGAATGCGATGGATTAAGGGGGCCAAGCCAGATTAAGCGGGAGTGTGTACCAGCGCGAATGCTGAATCTCGAACCTCCCAGGAGTTGTGTCCTAATGTGGCGAGCAAATCGCGCCGACCAGCTCTGCTTCAAAAATATCGGCCTCCAGACCACTCCGGGCCCCAACTCTGTTTCACAAAGATTGGCCTCCAGAGAGACCCACTCCAGGCCCATGAGAACGGCCTGGGACGAAACCCTGACCCAGTGGAAGAGGTGGAGAGTGGAGTTCCTCGGGACCGCGGTCCACAAACAATCTGGATTCTGGATGTCGGTTGTCTCGGATCGGGCCGCAAGCGCCCTACGAGGACGAGGAGAAAGAAGAAACAATGATGAGAGCGGTTCCCCCTCTTCCCACCGCCCCCTTGCACTCCCGAAGATGGGCCAACTTCTTCCCCTCCTCCCCCTCCTTCCCCCCTCCCCCTCCTTCCCCCCTCCCCCTCCGTCCCTCTCTTCCCCATTCGCTCCCCTCCTCTCCCTCCCTCCTCGCTTCCTGCTCCAACCCGAAGCCCTCCAAACAAGTTCAGAGACATCCTCGCACCCCTGAAAGCCTTCTCCTCACCTGTGGGGCGGAGGGGAGGAGGAGGAGGACGAGGAGGAGCACACATCGCTCAAGATACTATTCTCTGAGTGCGCCTGGTCTGGCACACTGGTGAGCGCCACGTCAGTAAAGTGTAGGTCCCTCTGGTTGAAAGGGTAATGCCCGGCATCCATGCTCGAAGCTGGCATGAACGCCCCTGTCATTTGAATGCTGCGCCGCAGAATTGCGCAAGTTGTAAAGTTTATATCCAAGTCAACACTTCACGCATGATTCAATAATAATCCACGAGTTATTTTCTGGTACCTGCAAAAATGTGTCTGGCTCCACGACTGAAGTCAAGCTTTAAATGCACGGCAACTGATTAACATGGGAACCAACCATTCGTATGGCCTACAATATTCAAACATCTCTTCGAAGGTTGTTGCGCTCCTGGTTGTCGAAAAGAGAGAAGGAACAAGGAGCAGGAGGAGGAGAAGCAGAAACAAGGAGGAGAAAGACGAGGAGGAACAGGACGTCGTCCATTCGGAAGAGTGCCTTTGCGTTAGGTCGGGCATGTTCTCCTACAGGCGGATTGTGACAACAAACCGTACTTTCTCATACTCCACATGTAGAGGGACAGGCCGGACTCAACCTTTGCGGCGTCCGACGCCCGTCCTGATCCGCGGCGTCTACCGACCAGCTGGCAGCCTCCGCCAGGATGATCTCCCGCACGCCAGGGCTCATGACCCTCGGTTCCGAACGCGGAAGAGGGGGTAGGGGAGTAGCAAGAGGCGAAGACGGAGGAAAAGCACGGGTATGCGATGACATGTTGGGAGAATTTCTGCCTCCAGGGGGGATCCGTGTAGCCACGGCCAGATCCGCCTCGAGATGTTAGGCAGAACGCCCCCTGGGAAAAGTCGGGGGACGGTTCTGAGCGAGGACGAGGCAATGGAGAAGGAGGGAGGAGAAGGACAAACAATGAAAATGGAGGAGGGAGGGAGGAGGCGGAGGGAGTGAGAGGTCGGGAGGAGGAAGATAGGTGGGAGGAACAAGCAGGGGAGGTGAGCGAGGCAATTCGCGAAGCGACAAACGAATATCGACACTGACGAGCGCTCACGATCGAGCTCGGCCGTGCCACAGAACCCTCGGCAATAGCTACACCCCATGCAGTCGAGCTGCCACCAGCAGGAACGCCAAACAAAGAGCGGGCCGCACCCGCACCGTTCGCTGTTGCAGCGTCTGGACCTTTGTTGTGGATGCCACGACAATGGACACCCTGACAGTACTATCATTTAATTTATAATGTGTTTAAAATGCAGGAAAATGTTCAAAACATGCTTCAAATATGTTTTGAACATGCTTTTTACATGTTTAAACAAACATTGACCCAAATTTTAGACATGTGGGCATCATTTAGCAATACGCTTCCTCTCCATTGACCGTCCAACACAAGACTTTTGCTTCTCCCACCATGGAGCGCGGCTCGAGAGCAGGGGAGGAGATCAGGCCACAGCCCGTGTGGAGGGACCGGCACAGCGCCCATAAAGGCAGGGCGGGACTCTCTGTGGGCCTCGTGCCGCAACTCAGGGCGGGAGGCTGCCGCGGCGGCCAGAGAGAGCGCGAGAGAGAGAGAGGGAGAAGGAGGAGGAGCAGCAGGAGGAGGAGGAGCAGCAGCAGGAGGGGGAGGAGGAGGAGGAGGAGGAGGAGGAGGAGGAGGAGGAGGAGGAGGAGGAGGAGGAGGAGGAGGAGGAGGAGGAGGAGGAGCAGCAGGGGTAAGGGCACGAGCGGCGAAACGGCTACACACACATCCACGTCTTCCCCCTCGCGGCCTGGCTTCCCGGGCGTGACCCCGCGGACGCGCGGCCGCACGGACGCGCCGCGCCCGGGGCATCCGCGATCGAGCGCCCCGCGCCCGCGAGGTCGCGGCCCAGGGGCCCGGCGCGCGAGGCCGTGGCTCCGGACACGCCGTCCCCCCGCGAGGCACAACGGGAGCGGCGAAGCGCCGCGCACGGACCGACCCCTGCGGCCCCCCGCCTCGCACCCGCGGCGCCCCGGC